TATTGAAGGCAAGGAGAGGTTTTCAATTAACTTTAATATGAGTTGTATTAGGCCCAATCTGAGTAGAAATTCTCATTGATAAGGGACGTTTCTGATGCTATGGACAGAGTGATATAGTTATTCTTTATGTTTTATCTTGCACATTGAAATGCTATAGGGTTAAAAACAAACAACTAAGAATAGCCAGAGGATATCCGTCAGTACAGACAATTGTCTCAGAAGTGCCTAGCTATGCTGGTGTGTCATACAGTTGCATTAATACATGCCCCAGGCATGCTATTGTATACTAACTATGTATGCAAAAGAAAATAAAACCTTTAAAACAACATGGGTTTTTTTTTGTATTGCCCATTGGTTCAAATGCATTGTGTTTTGTTTATGGATTGCAAGGGCAGCTTTGCAAGAGTTCCAGAATGAAACCAGGTACAAGTCGCATCTTGCTTTGTTTTGTTTTAAACATGTAGGCTATGTCTACACTGCATCCAGGAGTGACCCTTCCAGGCAGGATCCACAGACTCGTACTAGTGGGGCTTGCACTTGAAATAGCTGCAACTCAGGCTCTCAAGCCTATGTGTGGGGGCTTTAAAGTGCTGTCTGCACAGCTATTTTTAGAGCCCTAGTGCAAGCCCTGCCAGCCCAAGTCTGGGACGCTCACTCCTGCCATCTCCATTCCCACAGGGATGAAATGACTTGCCCATGATCACCCAGGAAGTTGGTGGCAGATCTGGGAACTGGATCCGGATCTCCTGAATCCCAGTCCAATGCCTTAACCACAAAATCATCCTTCATCCCTGCACTACACATGCTATGTGATCATCTTTGCCTGCTCATGCTACATTTTAAAAAGTGACGCCACATCTCTCGCCAATCTGAGACAAGCTGAAGTCGAGTGTAGAACGGCAAAAACTACACTATATTTTGAACCGGAGGTGGAAAAAAACTGACGCAACAGACGAAGTGACTTACTGGTGTTTTGTTTGCTTTTCCTTGCTCTCTCTTGAACCAGATGTAAAATCTTGTCCCAATTGAAGTCAGCGGAAGTTTTACCATTAACTTGAAAGGAGCCAGGATTTCACCCCATGTATTTACCACTGGTGGAACAAGATATGGAACTTGATGGCCTGGATTCAGCAAAACAT